CCCACGCACCGCCCCGGCCCCGCCAGCCGCCACGCGCCGGTGGCATTGGGGGGGGGGACACGCACACGAGGGACGGGGGGACACGCACACGAGGGATGGGGGGTCCGGCCAACACTTCCCAAGGGTGGCAGCAGCCATGGGTTGTCCATCCCGACCCATCTCCTCTGATGCCCCTTCCCTGCGCCCTGGCTCTGCCACCCTTGGCCATCCCTCCAGGCTTGTGTCACCCTCTGTGCCATCTCCCACCCACCCCGGGTTGCCCCCTGCTCAAGCCCCAAGCCCCTTCCCCCCAGCTGGAAACTCCTCCGCCACCCCAAAAATCTTGCACACCTCTAGCTCTAAGGCCACCCGTGTGGGGAGATGGTGCCAGAGCTGGCAGGGATGGCAAACACCCAACGGCTGCTGCATCCCGCACTGCGGTGACGCTCTGAGCACCCAGAGACCTCTGAAGTCCTTTCCCCAGGGACCCCCAGCCTCTGCTTTCTGCTCAACACAAGCTTTGGGGGATGTAGGGAGCCTCCACTGGCCCCACAGCCCCTCCCCCACACCTCGGCCACATGGGGTGGCCCCAAGAAGGGCCCTGAAGTTGCCACATCCCGGGAAGGAAAAGCAGCCACCCGGGCGTGCACAAAGCCACTTCTTGTTTGGCTTTTTTTGGGTTGAAGCGTGTCCTTCATCTGGGTTTCTCCAGCAACAGGGAAGTTCCATCCCGTCCCATCCAGGCTGGAGGGAGCGAAGCAGCCGGGGGGGAGCAGGGCAGGAGGGCAGGATGGAGGGCAGGAAGGGAAAAAGCCAAAAATAAGTTTTTAAAGAACTGAGGCTGCAGTTTTCACCTCCCTCCTGGGCCCGCGGCTGCTGCAGCCAGGGCAGGGCTCCAACCCTGTCCCCGTCCCTCCGTCCTGGAGGTGCTGCAGCCATCAGGGGCCAAACCAGGGGGTGTAAAACACCAGACATTGGGGTCCCTCTGTGTAAGGGGCACCCCGAGGTGTCTCAGCCCAAGATGTCCCACCCCAAGGTGTCTCACCCTGAGATGTCCCACCCCAAGGTGTCCCACCCTGCCCGGCCCTGGCCCAGCAGCATCCCCTGAGCCCCTCCACGAGCGTTAAGTTGAAAAGTGAATTACCTTAGAAATACACTTTTCTTAACGAAAAAACCAAAAAAACCCCAAACTAAAAGCAACGAGCCGCCAGTGATTCATCTTAGGCAGCGAGTCTCTTCATTTATTCATTATGAGATAATACCCAAATCTGGCTAATTAATATTCCTGCATATTTTCCAAGGGCTGATGAGGTATCTTAAACATCTCGCCGAGATGGGCTTTCATATTTATAAGGTTGATGTTCAAACTTAAATTGATGCCGTCTAAATATACCCCTCATCTTTAAGCAATGGCGTTTCACTCCCGGGGTGGGGGGGGGGGGGAAAAAGAGGGGGTTCCCCAGGCACAGACCCCGGGGTGAAGCGGGACCCCGGGGGGCTCAGGGGGTGGGAGAGAAGCCCCGAAAAGGTTTTTGGGGAGAGTGTCGTGGTGTCCGTCCTCCCGCAAAGATGTGAGGTGTCTGCTCTCTTGGGTAAAGGGGGGACGTGGGGGGGCACTGAGGGTGCCCGTGGGGCTGGGGGTGCGTTGGGGTGGCATCGGTGGGAGCAGCCACGCAGCCGGACGTGCCCACAGGTCACGGAGCTGTCCCCGGGGCTTCCTCCCAAAAACCCCTTCACAAGGTTAAAAATAAGGGCTCCCCACCTTTTCCCACCCCCCGGACAGAGCCATCCATCAACACAAACCCCACCGAGCACCAGTGCCTCCTCTCCCACACACCAGTTACCCCCCAACTGGGACGAGGGCATGGGTTCCTCCTGCTGCTGCTCGGGGGGTGTCACTTGGGGGGCTGAGCACCCCCTCAGCCCCCCCTCAGCCCCCTCCCCACCACCAGGGTTTGAGGGTGGCTGGGACCTTGGGGTCTTCTGCCCGGATTGGGGGGCGCGGAGGGGCCATGGCACTGGGGCTCCGCTGTTTCAGGGTGCAGGGGGAGGGTGGCCCATAGCAGGGACATGTCCCAAGCCCCTGGGGGTCACGCTGTGGGGTGGGGGGTTGT